TTACTACTACTACTACTACTACTACTACTACTACTACTACTACTACTACTACTACTACTACTACTACTACTACTACTACTACTACTACTACTACTACTACTATACCTACTACTACTACTACTACTACTACTACTACTACTACTACTACTACTACTACTACTACTACTACTACTACTACTACTACTTCTACTACTACTACTACTACTACTACTACTACTACTACTACTACTACTATTACCGCTACTGCTACAATTGCGACGATGAAGAGAAGGAGGAGGACGGCGTTTACCGTTACTACTAATATTGCTCTCCGCGGGGCTTCAACTCCTCGGGGCTCCTCTGGGATAATTTTCAAGTTCAGCTTGGGGAGGGAGCCTGTTGAGTATCGGTTGGCGTGTTGGAGACGGAGGGTGTTGAGTACTGGATGGTGTGCTGGAGACGGAAGGAGTTGAGTAGAATATCATTTTCAAGTTCAGCTTGGGGAGGGAGCCGGTTGAGTATCTGGTGGTGTGTTGGAGACGGAGGGAGTTGAGTAGTAGGTTATTTTCAAGCTCAGCTTGGGGAGAGAGCTCGTTGCTCCCCTGCCGCCTCCCCCCCCCCAGCACCTGTCTCTGTGCCTCCCGAATCAAGACAGAACGCGCGCGTGCACCGTGTTTGGCGCCACCGATGCACGGAAACGCTGTGTTTTTTTTTGTTGTTTTTTTGGGGGGGTCTGCGAAGCCACGAAACATTGTGTATTTTTGTTTTTTGGGGTTTTTTGGGTTTGCAAGCCCCCGTGCCCGCCGCGGCCTCCCTCCCAGCACCCCTCTCTCTGCCTCTCAAAACCAAAAAAAAAAACAAAAAAAGCAAAAATACACAGTGTTTCGTGGCTTCGCAGACCAAAAAAAACAAAAAAAAAAAAACAAACAACACAGCGTTTCCTTGCATCGGTGGCGCCAAGCATTGCGTAGAGAGAGTGAGAGAGAGAGAGAGAGAAAGAGAGAGAGAGAGGCAGAGAGAGACATAGAGAGAGAGAGAGGCAGAGAGAGAGAGAGAGAGAAAAAGAGAGAGAGAGAGAGAAACAAAAAAGGAAAAGAAGCAGTCGAGGATGAGGAGACGAAAAGGTATGATCTTGGGGGGGGGGCGACCATATATATATATATATGTCTAAACAAGTGTATGTATACACACATACACGCAGATGCTGGGGTCCCTCAAAATTCTCAAGGAGAACAACAGCGAAGTCTGCAGACCGGCCGCGGTGGGCCGACCTCTCTGCGGCACTTGAGAAAGCAGCGCCTGGGCAGACCGAGCGATACGTCACAGAGCATGGCGGAACGAAGCATTTCCGGACTGACTGACTGACTGAAGCCTTGCGTCTAGAAAACGCGTGGGCAAGATTGCACGTATGGCGACCAGCGGTGAGCACAATCTATTCAACTATACAACAAACCTGGGCTGGTAACACCAGGCGGACAACAGGAAGGGGAGGAGGGCGGAGAGGGGGGCAAACTAATGACAATTGAAGACGCGCAGGCACATCCTGACATAATACAAAAACTACGAGCCGTCAACATCATCGTCGTCGAGGCCAGCGTTGTCATCATGACGTCGTCGTCACCGGCAGCGTCGTCGTCAGCGCCGTCAGCGTCATCGTCAACGGCAACATCGTCGTCGTCGTCGCCGTCGTCGTCTTCCGTTGCCGCTGGTGGCGAGTCGAGGAGGGCGTCCCCCAGGTTCCTTACCCCCTTTTCTTGCGGAGTGAGGGCTGTGACCCCCCTCCCCCGCGCCCAGCGCTCATGAAAGGCACCCTGTCGAGCGAGGAACCCCAGCATAAGCGAGGGTGAGCAGGAGGGAGACACAAACACAAAGTATGGCCAGATAACGGATGAAGGCGCTCGGGGTGGAAAGAAGGGAGAACCCGGAAGGAGTGAAGAGGCTAACGATAGCTAGGAGGAGTAACGAAGGAACACATAATGACGAAACATACACAGGGACGCACCCGACCCATCTGCAATGTGTGTGTGGCAATCTCAAAGGGCCCGTCCATAATGATAAACCTTACAGGGCATGCTGTTCCGTGTGACAGCTGCTTAAGGAAACTAGGAAACTACGCATTGCACACCGAATAAGACCTGGGCAAACCCGTGCTCAGCTGACCACCCACCTATCGTAATTTCCGACAATCGCACGGTTGGCACAACCCACGGACTAGGTCTCGTCTAAGCTTGGATCCGCACTGTGCCGCGGGGCACGAGTTGGAGTGCCCTCAGGTCCCTTGTAGTCCGCAGCCCTCAGTCCTTAGGATTGAAAATGCAAGGGTCCCGACCCCAAATCCTGATGATTTCTAGGGTTCCCTTGGGGTTCCCGGCGTGCCTCGTGCCCCGAGAGGCCTTTGACCTACAATCCATGCACGGCGGCGGGATGGGCCAAAGGCCAAGGGTGCGCGGCGTGCCAAATGTCTGGAAATGTTTGTTCCTTTTCTGGAAAAGGAGAGCTCGCCGTGGGGTCCCGGCCCAGCCCGCCGGCCACCAAGAGAGCGCCGAAACTTCGTTCTCCGTTGGCCCCGTCGCCTCCTCCAGGTTGGCCCCATGACGGCCCAAGGGGCCACCAAAACAGCGCGAGAGGGAGCCTTGGACATCCTGGGGACACCGTGGGCCAAGGGGCACTTTCTGGCCACGCCCGAAGAGCCTCCTCCTCCTCCTCCTCCTCCTCCTCCTCCTCCTCCTCCTCCCTCCTCCTCCTCCTCCTCCTCCTCCTCCCCCTCCTCCTCCTCCCTCCTGCCTCCCTCCTCCCTCCTCCTCCTCATGCCTCCTCCTCCTCCTCCTCCTCCTCCTCCCCTCCTCCCTTTCTCGTCGTCCTCCTCCTTTCCCTCCTCCTCCCTCAGGGGAAACGAGGGGGAACGCTGGGGTGACCAGCTCAGGTCGGGAAGCGCCGCGCTAGCATCGGCGGTGCGTCGCCGATTTTGCCCCGTCGGCGATGGCGGAGAGCTGCGACTGGGCCTCCGATGGACAAGCCCGCGCGCCCCTGAGCGGGGTGGGCCGTCGAGCCCGGATCGGCGCGCGTTTCCGCGAGGGAGGCAAAACTCCAGAAGCATCACATTGACCAGCCTCGAACTTATCCCTACCCCTAAGATGGGCGAGCAAAAAGCGAGGGCAGTCTCAGGGATGGGCCCTCGGAAACTGAGGGAATCCTTAAGATCGGCATCGAGGCGAGGTGATGTCAAACATGGGGATAGGGATCTGTTTCAAACTGGGAAATGACACGTCGACGGTCCGCGCGGAGTTCTCGGATCGGCGCTGCGCCGCCCCCCCTGGCGCGCGGAGCGCGGCAGGGGCGTCGGCGGAGGCGCCGCCAGCCAAGGGGGGATCCCGCGTCGGTCTGACGAGTTCGCGCGGACCTCTGTAAGTTTATACATATAGGTGTATAAACATATATGTATATATGTTGGCGGTGCCCGGTGCGGAGCGAACCCCCCCCCGGCAATCTCTCCCGGGGGGCTTCGAGCTGGCGCCATTCCCGGTGCGAGCCTGCACGACCCCCCCCGGTAAACCCGACCTCCTCTGGCCTTGAGCATCCAATACACCAATATATTGCAAACACCAATATTGTGTGGAGTGGCAAATATAACCAAGAGAGGCCAACAGGGGATCTTGGTCGAGTCATTTCTACGTGTTGTCTCCACTTATTATACGTCCCTATCGTAATCAGATGACCCCCTTTTATTTGCCCACACCTTCTTCTTTTGTAGTCCTTTCTCCATCACCACCCATAAGTCGTTCCATTGATTTTTTATTTTGCGCTAATCCTTACCTTTAATCCTCCAACACACTCTTCTATCACTGCTTCTATACCTTTTTATTCCGTGCTCCTTCCCTTCCGTCCACCGGCCATCTAACCACTTTTCA